TACTGAAGCCTTTATTATAAGCTTATTATTTTAGCTGCGACATACACCCCACCTGCTCTCCCAGTTTCCTGGAACATTTTTTATTCCTGTGTTGGAGCGCTCAAACCCAGGGCCTCACCAACGTTGAGCCACACTTCCAAAGTCCTGGTCTTGTATTTGAAACCGTCAAAAAGTACTGCTTTCTCTACTTCCTGATTTTTTTTTTAAATTGTATATTTATTGTTGGTTCGGGGGGACCTATCCCAGGGCCTTGGAACCTACTAGGGCAAAGTGCTCTTGCCCCAACCCTCGCTGATTATTGACAGTGAGTAGATGCAATTTTTTTCAACCATTTGCTAAACTCTCTTCTTAATTCCATTAATTTGTATGTTGGTTTGTTGTCTATAAGGTACAAACTATCACCTGTGAATAAGACAAATTATCTTTTGTTTTCGTTTTTCTAATTCCGACACTGTGATATCTCTTGTACCTCCACTCACCCATTACCTCTAGAATAGTTGGTTAAACAGAACAGTGACAGCTGGCTCCTGTCGTTTCATTCCTGAGTTTAAGCCAAAATGGATTCTTAGGGACTAGAGGCATGCTTCAAGTGATAGAGTGCCTTGATCTAGGCAAGCATGAGGTCCTAACTTCAAACCCCCAGTCAAAAAGGGAAAACGATTCTGACATTCGCCATTAAGTAGGATAATGTTGCTGGTGATGGCCGTTAGACCAGCCTTATCAAGAAGATTCTGCCTATACCCTCATTTCCAAAGTTTCTACTGTCTCTCTGTCAATTCAGTTTCGATCATGACAGAGAGTAACAAATGAGAAATTGAGTACCACCCTCAGTGACAACAGGAGGTCCTTCTAAAGTCTGGAAGGCTGTGGCAGAATGTGGAAAACAAACCCTGAGGAATCATCATTTTCCCCAAGTGTCACAGTCCTCAGGTTTCCAGCCGGAAGTCTTTTCAGCCTCCCGAGCCCCAGCGTCCTAGTTATCAGTGGAAAGAAGTCAGGGAGGGCCAGAGAGCATTTTGAATTCATTCAACCCATGTCCATATATCAAAAGATCCCAATCTGGGTAACCTGAAGCTGACGTAGGACATATGCGTCATCCCCCACTCACCTGGGGGAGTCGTGCAGCTACCTGACCAGTCTGAGCTTTACTTGTCCTCCTCCTAAAACCACACCCCATTAAAGCCAAATTGGTATAAGAGGATAATTAATATACCCTCTCACCTCCCCCCAACAAACACAGGTGGAGCATCCCTAATTCAAAAATCCAAAATCAAAATGCCTCCAGAATTGCGAGACTTTCTGATTGCGGGTTGGTAGGACTTTGGAGCATTTTGAATATGTGATTTTCAGAATAGGGATGAATGTTCAAACTGGTAAAGTCTATGCAAATATTCTAAAATCCGAAACCTCTGAATCTGAAGTACTTCTAGTCCCTAGCATTTTGGATGGGGATATTTAACCTGTGTATGATTTCTTTCTTTCTTTCTTTTTTTTTGGGGGGAGGTGGCACTGGGTTTTGAACTCAAGGTCTCACACTTGCTAGGCAGGTGCTCTAACACTTGAGCCACGCTACCAGCCCAATTCCTTAATTTTTTTTCACTTAACATTTATGAACAGTTTTGAAGTTCCTGATGCCCACAAACTGTTTTCTTTCCTTACAACCCATATACTTTGATATCAAGGACTTACTGTATACCAGGAACTGTGGAAGGTGCTGGACAATGCCGTGAGGACAGTCCATTCTCTGGAAAGACACACGTTAGCCAGTGCAACTGCACTGTGTGTGTGTGTTGTGTGTAGATAAGTGATAGTGAGCATTAGAGAGGGAACAATGGGACATCAATGAGATCATTAAAACAGAGGTCCAAACTTTGTCCCGCGTTCATAGAAGACTCCCCTGAGGAGTTACCATGGTGTCCAAGACACCATAACCTCAGTTGGAATTTACTGAATGTTTTGTGGAACACTAGCTGAAGGTGGAAGCATTCCAGGCTAATAATTTACAATGCAAATTTTAAAAGTCACTATTCTCTCTCCACATATTCATCATGCCCCCCAAATATATAAAACTCACCTTGAAAAGTCTTGAGCAAGACACAGGCATTCCTCTAAGGATGCGATTGGCAGTGTGTCCTAAACATCACAGAAATGTCCATATTCAAAAGTCCTTCTCCTTTCAGTTGTAGTATTTAAGTTCAGTTTCAACTTGACTTTTGGAATAACACACCCTGGCACCTCCTCTGTAGGCATCAGAGCCAGCGCCTCTGAGCAGGCCCTGGGACAGACTGGCTTCTTGACACCCAACTGGGAAACAGGGTGAAGCCCAGTGGTTTGGGGCTCCCCTCACTTTTATGTTACAGAGTGGTGCACCTGGACTTGTGAGTCACCCTTTAGGCTGGGTACCATTCAAGGTGTTCTCATCCATTGTTCTCATGAGTCTAAAACTATTTATCAGAAATGTAAAGATTTTCTCTGATAAAGGTCCTTTCTTAATCATCTGTGCAACTTTTAAAAAATAATTCTCCAGGCCATTTTAGGAAATGTTAAGTTCTTGTGGGCAAATTAAGAAATCCTGCCACTGGAGCTTGTAGAACTCTGAAAATCAGTTAGTATGTTTTGATTGTGGCCACCCTTCACGTTGATTGCCAGTGTGAGTGACATAGGATCTTCAGATTTCAACTGACAGTAAAAGTGGAGACCCTGAAAACATGCCATGCACGAAGAATTATAAGTACAATAAAAAACCCAAAGGACTCTTGAGTGTTTAGGCTGTTTTCATATCTGTGGTGAAAGTCATTTGCCTGATTAAATCCTAGAATGCAAAGTTTTAACTTAAAAAAAAAAATGAAATCCCTTTATACAATTAATATATACCTATTAAAAAAAAAAGATAGGTAGATGAACCAAGGGTGTCATTCAGTGTGGGGTGTTGCCTAGCTTGTGTGAGCCTTAAGATTGAACACTGGCACTGCAAATAAATAAATAAAGGTGATGGTTCCACAGCCAGAGGAAATGATTTGCTGACTAATCTGCCAATTATTAGCAACTATTTTTTTCCATTATTCTCATTCGCTTAGAAAATAGTCAAAAATAATTCCCTTAGAAGTTGTTATACAGCAGTCAACAGGATCAACAATGCATTTCTGGGTTTTGTTTGTTTTTTAAATGGGAAAGCACACTTTTTTATGACCTACCTGAAACATAGTTCCTGGATTAAAAACGTGTGTGTGTGATCGTGAGGCTCCAAATAGACTGTACTTAAAATCAGGGTGAAACCTACACCTACCTGACTGTAAATCAGGATGATTCTATAAACCTGAGCTACCTGCGAAAAGCAAAAGGAAGGTAGAGAAGAACGTCCCTTGGAGGAGACGGGTGCTGGGGAGCCGGCCAACCAGGGCTGCCGGCGCTGGCCGGGGCTGGTTCTCATTGCCAAGGTCCCTCCCCTTCCCAGCCTCCCCTCCCCCAGACTCTAATCAAGGCTTAGCTACAGGTTTGGAAACAACAGCCCGAGTTAAAGACTTTCCCCCACCTTTTGTGTTTAAATGCAGGAACTGGAGAAGTCTTTGGCTGCCTGGACTCTGAACTTGAAAGAAGCAGAAACGATGAAGGCCGAGCTCAGCCGGCACGTTGTGGCGGAGGACGTGATGGTTTTGAAGAGCAGATAGACCATTTGCACAGACAATGGGAAGACCTCTGCCTCAGAGTAAGTCAGTCAGCTGCGCACGCTGCTCGGAGTTGACTGAAATGGCCCCAAAGCCAGTCGGAGTTAGAAAGGAGCTCGATTTCATTGAACCCGAGGGTCCCCAGGCCACCGCCACTCCTTCAGAAGGCTTTCACACATTTGACCCTTTGTTTCTGCAGTGCGAACTGCTGCCCCTTTGCACACTTGTAACTGAGCATTTTTTAAAAAGTCACCTTAAGTGGGAGGAAAATTGCAGTGACGAGGCCATGTGGACTGACTGCTCTCTGGCTGGTGTGGCAACGACGCTAATCAGCTTATTTCAGGAGGTCTCTGTGGCCTCTGCTCACTTCTGGGCTAATGGCAGGAGTCCCACTTGGTGCATTTCTGGGAGGACTGCATTCACATGCAATCCCATGTTTGTTTGAAGGAGCTGAGTTTTTAAATTCTCTAAAAGTAGGAATCAGCGGTGGCGTTATCTCAGCTGGTCACTGCTTGTGAGAATAGCATGGAGGTTAGTGTTACAGTTTGTCACAGGATCAAGATGGAATTACAGGGTTCAAGTAGTCTTAAAGATCTTTAAGACATAATTCTAGGAAAAATAAATTCCTTAATCTCATTTTTTATGAATTAAGACATGTATTTAAAAATGTTGACATTCAGACACTTCATAAAGCAAGAAACACCTTATCAAAAACTTGATTTTAGTATTTAATAATCACAATGTACCCAAATTTTAGATGTCCTAAGTTTTTATTCAAGTTCACATAAGAGTGAACTTATGAAGTGTGGAAAGTATTCTTGAAGGTAGAGGTACAGACTGGGGAGCAGATGTTTCTAATTGTGGCCTTTGTGAAATTAGTCAGAAGGACTCTGCACCAATACCAACGCCAGGAGTTTTAAAAGCTAAGATAAATAGATGCCCAGGGAGTGGAAACAAAAAGCTTGTTTTTTTAGAGATAGGTTTTCAAGCCTTTTTAACACATTTGGCTGGGTAGGGTGCACAAACATTTGGAATTTTTGCCTTTCGCTGAAAGGGCAGCGGGGGAGTCTACCCAGCAAGAAAATCTCTGGCAGTTGACTTTTGTTTCCCCTTCTATAAACTGGGGTATTAAAACTTTACCGAAAGAACTCTTAACTCCCCTCTTTTAACTCTAAGTATTTAAAGGTTTTTAAGATCTGGGGATACGTTTGTCCGTTTAGTGAGGCTGATTTAAATCCAAATTTACTTACAAATTTGAATGCTGTAAGGAGGAGGAACTTGGCTGACATCGTAGTGTGTAGGGTAGGGAGTCAGCCTGCTTGTTGCAAACCAGGTTTGGATGCCCTTCTGTGGTTTCCGCCCAAAAGCCACAGTATACAATGAGAAGTGGATTCAATGAGTGGTGTGCATTGGTTTAGGTTTTGCTTCATTTTGCTTTGTTTAAACACTGAAACATTTATATGACTTAAATTTTTCTGGCCCGTTTGCACTACACATGTTTGGTTTGTATTGTGATCCGATTATAGTTTTTCAGTGGGTAGGACGTTGAACAGATAAGGACTTAGACACAAAAACAGTTTGGGTCATAAAGTTAGAAGTTAGCATGTTGTAAGCAGTCAGTAAACACATACTGAAAGAACAAAGACCGGAAGACATTGGGTGATGTTAGCCTTTTCTTGTTTCTAATTTTTTATGGTAATAGATACTATGTAATAGATACTTTCTGATCGTAACAGATGGGCACTGGGTAAACGCAATCCTTCCAGTCAGTTCCAGCATTTTATTACTCTGATGGCAGTTATCAAAGGTATAAGAAACTCTGATACTAAACCCTAGGTTTTAAGAGGAAGAAACATTTAAGTCACTAGAAGTACTGCCCAAAATGAGTGAAATTCCTAGTCCTTTTGACAGGGGAGAGAAGGAAGACCTTCCTTCTGGCTGTCCTCAGCTGGCAAATGTCTTTCCACACCCAGGTGGCTATCCGCAAACAGGAGATTGAAGACAGACTCAACTCATGGGTCCTGTTCAATGAAAAAAACAAAGAGTTGTGTGCGTGGCTGGTGCAGATGGAAAACAAAGTTCTGCAGACCGCAGACATCAGCATCGAGGAGATGATTGAGAAGCTTCAGAAGGTGAGCAGGGTCACCCAGGTGGATGAAGTCTGGACCTCCCTGGGCTCCTCTGCTCTCCTCACCAACGGGCTCAAAGAGGTCAGATATTGCTGGTGTGTTTCCAGTAAGCGTTTACACATTGGAAGGGCCTCACACTGACCCTTTTAAGGGGACAGTTGGAAAGGAGAAGATTCCGGAGAGATGAGAAGTATGAGCCCATCAGACATGTGTGTGGTGCTAAGATTTGCTTTTCCTTGGCTGGGAAGTCTGGCAGGAGAGGGGCTCGGGTCTCCAGAAGCAGGTTCTCTAGTTTGTGAGCAACCACCCTTTGCCAAGGAAGAGAGGCCAGCAGCAAGGAGGTTCATGACAGTGACTTTGAGGATCACTAAGCCCTAGAGCAGGGAGTGCAGTAAAAAGCACATTCTTCTTGCAGTCACCCAAAACACCACTCACTCAACCCGCAACCCTAGGAGAACTTGTACTGCTATTAAGCTGACTTAGTTATGTCCAGTTGGCCTCAGTTCCCAGGTAGGTTCTATTAGAAGATGTTTATGAGGGAAAACACAGGGACTGTTGCGTTCAGAAAGTAAGGACTGCCTTACACATTCCACATCTGCCCAGCAGGTGTGCTTCACTTTTTAGCCACTCAAGTGAAAAGGTGTGAGGAATTTTTAATTGTTTTTTATACCTGTTTTGGCAGTACTGGGGTTTGAACTCAGGCCCTCAGACTTGCTAGGCAGGTGCTCTGCAGCCCTTTTTCTCTGGTTATTTTGGAGCTATGGTCTCGCTTTTTTTATGCTCAGGCTGGCCTGGACCTTGAGCTCAGGTTTTAGATCTCCTATTTAGGCTTCCACTGTTGCTGGGATAAGCGCATGCCCACCGTTTTTCCCCCATTGAGATTGGGGGGGGGGGGTCACACGAACATTTTTATCCAGGTCAGCCTTGATCCTCCCAATCTCAGCTTGGGATGACAGGTGAGAACTTTGTTGCATGGGCTATCCTTATACCATGATCCTCCCAATCTCAGCCTCCCAAGTAGCTAGTATTACAGGTGTGAACCTCTAGGCCTGGCTGAGAATTATTTTTAATTTCTTTTTTTAAAAATTAAAAGGCAAATGTGTGTTTGTGACCAGAGAAGAAATGAATTTGGTGGTAGTAATAGAGCCTCTGTGTTTCGTTGTCTCTGCCAGGACTGCATGGAGGAAATCAGCTCATTCAGTGAAAACAAGTTACAGTTGAAGCGAATGGGTGATCAGCTGATAAAGGCCAGCAACAAGACCAGAGCAGCTGAGATCGACGACAAGCTCAACAAAATCAATGACCGCTGGCAACATCTTTTTGATGTCATTGGATCCAGGTAAGAAATGGCCTAAAATGGCTTCTTAGTCCTGAGGTTCAGTGGTTGCTTCACAGAGCTAGTGAGCTGAGCCCAGCCTTCCTCTACAGTACATCTAGCAGTTCTATAAATTTACAGATTGAAGTTTGGTCTTAAAAAAAAAAAAAAAAAAAGTGGAAATTCTAATTTCCCACATTAAAGAGAAATGACTTTTTTAGTAAAATTTCTCATGAATTACATGAGTTTTATTGATTGGTATTGTGGTGCTGGGTTGGAACCCAGAGCCTCTGGTAGCAAGTGCTCTACCACTGAGCTACACTCTAGGCCCCATTTTTTTGTTGTTTTTGAGACTGGGCCTTGGCTGTGTTTCCCAGGCTGGCCTCCAACTCCTGCACTCAAGTGAGCCTTCCTCCTCAGCCTGCCAAGTAGCTGTGACTATAGACACGCGTCATATCCCCTGCCGGATTAGGTTTAAATGAGAACTGGAAACTTGATTTGGAAAGCATTCCTTGAGGAGGTTTTATTTAGAAATTCCAACTATGCGTTAGCATTGCTGTGTCCCAGATGGAAAGGTGTCTGCGTATTCCTGCCTCAGTGTGGTAAATGCCAGAGGGCTAGGCACAGGCCTGGGCTGGGGCCCTTTACTGCCCCCACAGCAGGGGCCCTCTGCAAGTGTGTGTTTGGTGTGCCAGGTGTCTGGTGGGCATCTGTGCTGGAGAATGTAGCTTTGAGTTGTCAGCATTTTGTGTGGACACAGGCACAGCTCTGACCACAAATCAAAGATTCATTTTCCAATGCAATTTTATCAGAAATAGAGCAGAATAAGGGTGATGTCCAAAGTTTTAAAAACCTTCACCAAATGTTTTTCTGCTGCAACCTGCCATACAGAGAAGCCACGTGACCTTGGCCCCACATCTGCATCTTGGTTTTATGTAACACTTCTCAGCTGTTTTGAATATACATGTAACTTGAAATATATATACCTGGGAGATACATGAAGAAGGGGGGATGAGAACAGAATTTAATGCAGCATATCCTTTACCTCTCTGTCGATTAGAACCCATAAATGAACCTGACCCCACAGCAAAGGGCTCTGAGAATTCTACGTAGGAAGTAAGACGAATCAATAGCATTAATGGGAGCAGATATCCGAGTAGCCGGAAAACCAAATGGTTCCAGAGCTCAGATCTCGTCTTCCTGGGAGTGGGGGTGAGGATTGGGACTAGGAAGAGCCTCACAGAAGGGCTACCATCTCAGATGATCCTGATGGTTGGGACTCTTTTTATGTTGGCTTGTTTGGGGACAGGGGAGGGTTGGTGTTTTCAGACAGGGTTTCACTATGTAAGTCAGGCTAGCCTCCTGCCTCTACCACCCTAGTGCTGGGATTACAGATGGGCACCACCACACCCAGTGGGTTGGGTCTCTTGATGGTTTCTGGAGGCAACAGGAGAGACACAAATAGGTATAGAAGCCTCTCAGAAAATGACAAGAAGCCCGACTGGCTCAGGTGTAAGAGATGAAGCTAGAAAGAGATTGGGGCTGACTCCTTAAAACTTCAAATCTCAGCTACACACTTGGTCTCCTAAAGAAAGTCTGAGTCACCCGTGTTTTTTGAGCAGGGGAAAATTTCCTCAAGACCCACACGCAGGGGATATGGTGGGCAGGACACACTGAGTTGGATTCAACTTCTCGCCACCCCTTGCGGCAGCCTAAGTGAAGCAAAAGTTTTGAACCACTCCAGTCTTTGCCACTTACTCACCATGGAAACTTGAGTGCATGAATTACCCCTCAGTTTTCAAATCTGCAAAATGTGCCTGCCAGCATTGTTGACATCAGAGGCGGCTGTCCCTTGCGCGCAGGGGTGACATGCGGTGACATTTGGGTAGGTAGGACCAGAACAGCACGTAGAAGCCAGCGCTCATCAAGTGCTTATTTTCACTGTTTTTCCCGAAGAGAACGCTGAGACTTGGGAGCACGGTTGTTGAGTTTCGGGAAGAGGCTGGGTTTTGTCTAGTAGCGAGAGGTCCCTTGTCCAGGAGGTGACCATCTTGCTCCCGGGGCTGGGAACGGAGCTCAGATGTTCATAGAAATGGATGAAGCCACGTGGGGTGAGAATATCATTTGCACTGGACAAATGGTGTCTGCCATCGTCGTCTTTACGTCCTGAGTTGTCCTGGGCCCTGGCCGTGGTCACGGCGTCATGACATTGCCCTGTGCGTGGTCATTCAGGAGCGAGTCCTAGCGCCTTGCCTCCTGAGACCGGAGTCACAGTCTGCTCCTAACCATGCATGGTCTCTCCCTGTGGGGCCTCACGGCTGTCTGCTGCCCACCCTGCCTCTCTGGCTGCCAGTTCCTTGGTGGGAAAGGGACAAAACAGAGGGTGAAATGCCATCGGTCTTTTGGAAATAGCTATTGGCAAAATAAGGAGCTGAAATAATGCAAATTTTTTGACCACCAGCTGTATTCTGAACAATATGCTTTTATGCCTTCACTGTAATTCTGAAAGAGCAATACCACTGTCCTTTGTTTATCTTTTGGCAATACTGGGGATTGAACTCAGGGCCTCACGCTTGCCAGGCAAGTGCTCTATCACTTGAGACACTCCACCAGTCCTTTTGCTGTTAGTTTTTCAAATAGGGTCTTGTGCTTTTTGCCTGGACTAGCCTTATCCTGCAATCCTCATACCTTCACTTTCTTAGTAGCTGTAATCACAGGCGTGTCACCATGGCTGGCTTATTTTTTGAGATAAGGTCTTACTCACTTTTGCCCATGCTGGCCTCAAACCACTATCCTCCAATCTCTGCCTCCCAAATAGATGGGATTATAGGCATGCATCAGCAGGCCCAGCCATATGATCCCATTTTACAGATAAGGAAACTGAAGGCTGAAGTTAAATAACTTTCCCGTGGTAATGTAGCCAGTTTCTGATGCAATCAGGATGTGGACTCAGACAGTTGTGTCACCTCCCTGCTACCTCAGACCCTTCTGGTGTGCAACACTGAAATGAGTAGAGCATAGTGAGAGCCTAGTCCTTCAACACGGAGGAATCTGGGAGGGAATAACTTCTCTTCCCCTAAAGCAAGGGCTGGGCAGGGGCAGAACACTAAGGAGCCTTGGATTGAGTGGGCCCCTTAGGTGAGAATGTGGATTGCGTGGACCTGCCAGAGTCATCCTCACCTAGAACCAGCTCCTCCTCTGATCTCTGGCACTGACTTCCCCTGCCATCCAGGAAGGCTAGGATTGGGAGTACAGGCTACCATGTTTACATTTAAACAGGGCCAATGAGGACCTGCACTACATGGTCCACTGATGACCTCCTTCACCCACAGGATTCTGGACATAGATCCTGCTGCTCACAGTATTCTGTTGTTTACTTTGTGGTAGGGACAGTGCCTGGCATGGTGGTGCATGCCTGTAATCCCAGCATTTAGGAGGCTAAGGCAGGAGGATGATGAGTTCAAGGCCAGCTTGGGCTACATAGGTACCCAGATTTATGACTTTAAGATTTTCATTACAAGCCTTACCTTCAAGGTTTGAAGTAGTATTCACAAGTCTAAAATCTCACCAAGCCAAGTTTCATTCGCAGGGGATAAAGTAAAAAAACACAGCCGGACATGGTGACTGATGCCTGTAATCCCAGCTACCTAGAGATCGGGAGGATTTCGGTTCCAGGCCAGCCCAGGCAAAAAGTTAGCAATACCCCCAAGTCAGTCAAGCTGCTGTGGTACACGCCGGTGATCCCAGATACACGGGAGGACATAGTAGGAAGATCGAGGCCTTAGGCTGGCCCTGAGCAAAACCATGAGACCCTACCTGACAAGTAACTAAAGCAAAAAAGGACTGGGGTGTGACTGAAGTGGTTGAGAGCTTGCCTAGCAAGCATGAGGCTCTGAATTCAAAACCCAGTACCACAAGCAAAAAACAAAAGGCATGTTATTTTGGGTTCATTTCAGCAAATTCCAAAATAATTGATGACACACTGAAGACAGGGTTTCTTAAAAACATACAGCATTTCTGATCATTTCGGGCACTAGGCTCATTTATGGGGTGGACAGAGGAGGAACCACTGCTGTTTGTTTGGCAGTACTGGAATTTGAACTCGGCACCTCTCTTACTGCACAGGCACTCCACCACTTGAGCCACACCCTGGCTCTGCTGTTAGGTTTTAACTGTGGGTCCCGCAGCTGTTGAGCATAGGGGGCGCAGCTTGGCAATTGGAATTCTTGGAGAGCTTGGCTTTGGAAAATAGTTGATTCCTTTTTTTTTTTCTGAAGCCTCGCACTTGATGTGGTACTGTGGCGTGGAAAGCAGTGGAGCTCAAACCTCAGCATGCCTCAGAAGCCCTGCAAGGAGTGAGAACAGGGTGTCTAACACGTGCCCAGCGGTGTTGTGCTGGGTGCTTATCTGGGGAATATGGTTTGAGCACCACTGTGGGAGCATAAGCAGGACCCGGGAACAAGGCATATGGCCTCTGTGAGCCTGTTTCCATGCTGATAGACCGTGTGTCATTCCCTCTCCGGCAAGGAGATGAAAGCTCAGAGATCCTGGATGAGGCAGCCTAGGCCAACCTAGTGCTTGTTATATGTGGGTCCTGTGACTGTATGAAAACCATAGGTGGGAGAAGAGGCTTAGTCCCAAACCAGTCTTTTCTCATGTTCAGCCTCTATAAAATCTTAAAGCAAAGAACCGAGCCAGGAATGATGATGCACCCCTGTAATCCCAGCAATGTGGGAGGCAGAGATCTGGAGGATCATGGTTTGAGGCCAGCCTGGGCAGAAAATTAGCAAGACCCCAATCTCAATCAATAAGTTGGGTGTGGTGGTGTGCACCTGTGATCCCAGTTAGGCAAGAGGCATAAATAGGATAGTGATGCAAGCTGGCTTGAACAAAAACACAAGGCTCTACTTGAAAAATAACAAAACCCCAGCCTGCCCCTCTCCCCCCCCCGCCCCCTCCCGAAAAAGGACTGGGGTGTGGCTCATGAATTGAGTATCTGCATAGCAAGCATGAGTTCAAACCCT